TCAATGCTCAGTGCTCCATTTCTGTCTAATTTTCCTGAGCGCTATTTAAAAGTCAAAATGTGTAAAACAAAACACTAATTAATTCAAATTCAAAGTAAGATTTTATTGCAAGGCATCCTCTTATTATAATGCGGCCCTCTGAAACAAAAATAATTACAGTGGTGTACAAACTAGCATTAACAGCTCATATTATCATACAGTAATATGCATTAAAATATTCGTAAAGGCCCCATAATCATGCAGTGGAAGAACCAACACATGTATATGTCAAGTTTTTTTAAACATTAATTCATGAGTTTAGTTTCAGCTTTTATACATAATTCCCCTGGGTTGTAAATTGTATCCCTAGATTCAATTGTCTGTGACCAGTATGCATTTCCATTTATTCTCACTGTTCTGGCCTTCCTTAGTTCATTAGTTCTTGCCTTAGTTTCTAACCTTAATTAGAAACATCTTGCCTTAGTTTTTCTTTATCACCATTTCTGATATCATTTTCACATTTGTTTCTATATCTTATTTATGCCACATGAAGCTAACAAGGGGTGAAGTTGGAGAAGTATTGTATGCTTTTAATATGCCTGTATTATAGTGCAAAAAGCCTTACAGTGGAGTTGAAGTTGCTGAAAGAGAAAGAAGACATTTATTGCAATCAGAATGGTTTTAAACATGTGTACCCTAGTGGTGACAAGGTAGTGCTTTGCTGTTCCAACTGAACCTAGTAACAGCCATCCAGGGTTGAAATTCCTGGCTCAGACATTTTCATATTTATGGCTTTAATTTAATTCAGGATATTCCAAGTTGTCAGTCTGTGCAATCCGAGCCCTTTGTTACTTGTATGACAGAGGGATTTTTAGGGCTGACAGCTCAAAGACCCAGAACAGAATGACCTCACGGTGGCACTGTCCAAAATAACTCACACTGATGTGTGCTCTAGGAAAGAAGCTTATCTTTCATTTAAATTACATTTTCTCAATTATTCATCGCATTACAGGATGTTTTAGTTTTCTTGATCAGTTTGTACTCTCAATTGTCATTTCAATTGATGACAAACTTAGTGATTTTAATCAACCTCAAAGGATCTTATGATACGAGGAGACTTGTATGTTTTTATATTTCTGTTCTGTTGTTCATACTTTCTCTTATTCTACTCTCCAAGATCATACTGTCTTAGCTAGAACAGTCATTTATATCTTTCAAAACAAAATGTTTCTGGAGATAGGGTAGATTTTGGAGATCTATTAAACTATTTATTAAGCAATAACTTTAATTTAACAACAACTTGCCCTTCACGTGTTGTAGTGTTTTGGGAGTGCTTAAACTATTTATCAGGTAGGTTTTGTGGTTTTAATGATATTTAGTGATATAATTTAAGCTTATGTGTGCCAGCACCTTGGGACATCCTCTCAACGTGAAAAGCGCCATACAAATGTAATTTGTTGTTTGTTGTTGTGTATGGGTGGGGAGGGGTGTGGGAGGAGTTGCTGATACTTTTTCATAAAGGATAGGAACACGTAGTAATGTGTGGGGTGAAATTTGTGTATATATAGAATCATACTTCACAAATTTCACTCACCTTTCTATTATTCCAATAAAATGTCCTATTTATCATTCATTGTATATTTAGCTCCCACAATAATAAAAAGAACTAGCTTGGCATTTCTATAGAGTTTTAGGCTTTGGAAACTCATGGTTGTTCTTTTCTTCAACCACATTCAAATAGGAATTGATGCTCTTAAATTTGACCTATTAATACTCCCTGCTGTAATTTAAACATAATCACTATAATTAGCAAAGCAAGTGCTTGCTGGAGATCAGAATTAATTTAGAATATGTTTGGAGTTGCATTTTGGACAGGTCGACGACTTCTCAGTAACCCTTGCTAGGAGACAGCCAACCTGGACCTCTGTACAGGATTAGCTTAGCCTCCATCTAAGGGTTTGCTTGATAAAAACAACTATCTTTCCAATTTTATTTCTGATGTCTTGGAAAATAGGTTTGCAGCATTGTTGCATTAAATTGAAAATCACAGTCAGGGGTATAGTTTGAGAAGATGTTGCTGACTTTGAAATATTTTTTCCATTGTCTGGTGGGTATACTGTAATTTCTGATTAACCTCTGCTGATAATGTCTTAATTTAATAAAGTACCACAAGTTGTGATTCCCAAGTATTTATGCACCATTTTATAATATTCTCCTGTTGGAAGTGTGGGTACTACCCCATGACCTATTATAAAAACAATTTAGATATAATAAATTCTAATTCACAAAGTTTTAATTAACATTTTTATATGATTTCAGTGCATTCGGTTAATACTGTACCATGGTATGCTGTTCTTTGCCAATGTAATGACTTTATATTTTTTNCTCCAAATGAACTTGCAGCTGCACAACCACAATGTAGTTTGGGTGTCAGGCTGTAAGGCATTAAACAAACACACTGAAAATTCGAACTTCATGCCAGACCCAGCACACTACAGCAATAATCATTTATGAAATTATAGTGACTGCTAATAATTTAAACATGGTATAATGTGGGAGTATGGCAGCAGACATTTACCATAATTCAGGGAACACGGGCCTGTAAAAGGAGTAGAAGATAACAAATCTGATTTCAATTTTTGAAAAGGGTATGACACACTATTCTCCAGTGAGAAGAATACTGGAAAGGAATTCAGTGCAAGAGCAATTAGGATGTACTGCTCACTGTGCATCTACTTAGATGAAGCTACACGCTTTAGATTTAGTTTTAAATTTCCTTCCTTGTTTTGCTAATTATTGGGATCTCATTTGCAAACATGTGTAGAGATACAGATGTCATTCATTATGGAATTAACCAATTAAAAATTATGCCACTCTTTGGATGGGTGAGTGACATAATTAAGGGCTTCTAAGTTTCTTTGCATATAAGATTAGCCCTATTACTAAATAGTTATACGTTCCTGTGCTTTATATTATTCTGTATAACTCTCTTTTCACAGTAAATTTAATTCAATATAAATTACTCCTCTCTACCAGATTTGCAGTGAAAAACAGTTCAGAAACTGTCAAGCTATTTCTTAAACGAACTGTGTTGGGTCTTGGCCTCTTGTAAAACAATCCAACTGTTCCTTACCTTTCAGTAAAGAACCCACTCCACGTCTCTTAACATCTGATGCAGATCTGCATCTTAATTATTCTGGGTGCTGTTTGGAAATGGTCTGAGCCAGAAGAACTTCAGTACCACCTGCATCCTCTACACAGATGGCTTTACTGACAGATGGCATGTATGCATGAAAAATATGCCAATCTGCATGGGATTTTTTGGAGCTACTCACTAAAGGATTCAGTTGAACAGTTTCTCTGTATGTTTGGATAGCCAAAAGGATGGCTTCCTGGAGCTATCTCAAAATGAAAGGTTAGAAAGATATTACGAAAAATATAAAAATTATAGTAATGCAATTACCTCACTTCCCAACAATAGAAATAATGTCACAAAAGAAGCTCTTTCCCATCGGAAATATGCCAGTCTTACATAAGTGACTTAGAATCAAAAGTTTTCTCCCCTCCCCTTATATTTTTACTATATTTTTGTTTTATATTTTAGGAACAATAAAATGGGCCTATAATTTTTAATCAGTGAGTGGCAATTTTGATAAAAGAACTGGAGTTCAATTTTAACACAGCAACATTCATTGATTAATGCCATCTGCATATATTTTGATATTTGACACTCATGGCATGTCAAAATACAAACCATAAGAACAAATTAACAAATTTGACTGAATATTAATACAAGTTCCACTTGAAAAAAAATGAGGGGAAATAAATATTCTAACTTACTAATAACTAGCATAGTATCCAAAGCAACTGAAGTAGTGTTGCTTTCGCCAATTGGGAAATATGATAGCACAAACCTTGAAGCTTTCCAGGAAGCCACATCACATTACACATCGATTATCTTTTAATGTTAGTATCATACCATGTTTTATATAATCATTGTGTACGAGTAAGATACTGAATGTAGCGTAACTCACAGTGAATGTTAGCGGAGTGACCACAATCAAATTTGCTTTTCTTTTTACTTACCTTTCCACTGCCATAAGTAAGTCATGTGTTTGACTGCCATATTCTATGTACTGTGTATATAGCAACAGAACCGATTCCGGTCACATTGTGAATGCCAGATTTTCGGTATGTATTTTAATAATGCTGTAAAAGTAAGCCTGGGCCTTTTGTAGTTAATGTTCCAGTTTCCTTCATTCTCAGTTGTGTTGAATATAGTGTTACAATATAGTGCATCAGTCACAGCTGTGCAATTTGTTTATCCACATTGCACTATATTCAGAAATGTCAATTTCGGAAGTGTAGCTACCTTGGAAAATGTATCATGATTACTACCTACAGTTTCAAAATAATGTTTTAGAATCTACTTTGCATACTCGCAGTCTATAATTGGACTACAACTCTTGGCATGCAAAACCACTCCTTCTTATAAATGGAAAAAAACTTTTTCCATGTTTATTTTATAGAAGTGGTTATGAGATACTTGCCAAATTCCCTTCTGCTGTTCATTACTTATTGCTATAGATAGATGTTTTCCTTACTACATGGATTTCAACCCCAGTAGAATCAGAAATATTTCTAATAATTTAAAGGTTGAAATGGACTTGTATGTCATTATCTTCGATGCATTTTTGTAATGTAGTGCAGACAGATTGATGTAAAGTTAAAGAATGATAAATTAATTTGAAATGTATGAAGACGCTTACAGTTTTCATAAGTAAATTAAAATGCTTGTACGAGTAAATTAAAATTATGGCTTGCTAGCTTGACTTTGATTGACAAAATCAAAATTACTGAGGATCAATAAAATGTAAGGACATGCAAGTCAAATAAGAGAAAGATAAGATACTTGAAACCTGTGGCAGCTGAGCATGCTAATTTAACAAACACATTGGAAAGAAGTAACCTATCGCTCTTAGAATGTATTACTAAAGATATTGTAATTATTTTTCCCCTAGGAATTTCATGAACCTCAAACCAGTGATGTAAATCAACCTGGACTGTCAAAACACAACACCTGTTATCAATACCTGGCACTATAAACAGATGAAACACCATCAAATTAATCATCATGGAAAAGACAAAGGAGGAATTTGCACAACACAGATGAGCATGATTCGCGTGGGAATGAATGGTTTCAGAAGGACATTTTTCTTGAATAGGCAGTGTAAACAAAGAAATCCACGTCACCAGAACTATAGTTGATCAACTAACTCCCAAGTTGCATTTATGCATGCATTCTGTGCCTGAAACATCAAGATAAATACATGTATGTAATTATGTAAACATGCCTAAATCTGTATAAAGTTCATAATTATATATATATATATAAATCTGTGCTGGGGATGGTGAGCTTCAGCTCTAGATATTGTCAAGCTATGTAAGAATAGATAATTCTGTTCCATTATTTTTATAACATTATGGGAATGTCGCCAGTTTTTCCTGTAGTCTCAGATGTGTTTCTGTTCCTAAATTTCGAGTTGGTTGTGGTGTTCGTACACATGTTGATAGTTGTCCAAGTATGAATGTTTTTGGATTCAGTCGCAACATTTTAAAAAAATTATGTTGCACGAATTCTAGGGTTGTAAGTCAGACGATCCTACGCATATTTGGTGGCCAGTTTTGGAATACCAAAGATTGCAGGATAAATTTCTTGAAAAAAACTATATTCAACAGTTTGAAAGCAACCAAAAAGGATTTGAGCTAATCATATTGCGCAAAATGATCATGCTGTTGCAATTGAACTAACACGGTATTGTAATGTATGCAACTTTTGCAAATTGTAGAATGGCGATATGTATATAGTTTTAATATATACAACTCCGCCAATACATTGCAGAGGCAGATTAAGTTTAACGTTAGCCTTTCACGTGTATGAGACTTTTAGTCAAAATTGTTTGCATAGTTGTGCTGACAAGAAGCTAGGTTATCAACAAAATGGAAATCCCATAACATTATGAGCTATGTATTTATAACTCCTTCATAGAAATAATTATAATATTGTGTACTGTTCTAAAATTTATTTTTTTAAAATAATGTTAACAGCAAGTAGTCAGTTCTAAAATACGCAATCTGTGATATTATTTAGTTCACAATTCTGTTATCAATAGCACATGCACTTATGTTTAAAACATTAATCCTTTATAATATATATATATCCCTTCATAGCTAATTTATTAAATACATGTGTATTTTTCTAAAAAGAATTGTAATTTTTCAAGTTCTTACATCAGTGTGCAATACAAATTTGTAAATTTCATTCTCGCATATCCTAATTCATCCTTCCCATTTGTCCCATTCCTATAAGCATTAGCATTTGCTGTCAGTGCAAACTTTCGTAATGTGTTAAAACAGTGTGCTAAATAAAATTCAACCTGGGTTTCTGTGAATATTAAGTGTTAAAAAATATTTATTTTTACTCTGTGTTTAAATTCCCAGACATGAATATTAACAATTTAAAACAAAGGAATGCACAAGTGACACAATATCAAGCATGTTTTTCTGAATCAAAGCAGAGTAAGTAGATGAATGCATTGCAATTCTACCAGCAACATTATATTCAATTGTACAAAGATATACAAGTAATGTAGGTTTGCTTTAATCATCCACAAGGGGAGAAGGGCTCCTTCAAATAACCCTTCTAGGATCTCTATTTAATGTATATGGTCTAAGGGAACTGACTATGTATGTCTTAATAAATAGATTGAGACCCAATTCTGAAGCAAAGTTTAGTGCTGTGACAATCTGAATATAACTCATCATTGTATGCGCCACTCTGTATGAACATGAGGCAGGATGGAAGATGGACATAGTTAAATTAGGAAATCAATTCTCCAGTCCTTTAAATGCAAAATGGAACAGTAACCTCAGGAGGAAAGACTATATGAAAACTACGTTTTAAATAATTTTACTGAAGGAGTACATACAGTTAGTTCCTTTAAATACCTGTGAATGTTAATTCAAATAGCGGATCAGATGTGAATCATAAACAGTTCATTTATAGCCTAAACTTTCTTCATTAATTTCTGTTGAGGTCAGCTTTCCTAAAAAGAGAAGGAATATCCAGTGGAGGTAATCCCCATGTATATTATATATAATATTTTTAAATTAATCATTTTTGTTTTCATGGAGCCACATGATTCTGTGTTTTGATTTTCACCAATGATCCAGCGATAGATTATGATGCTTTTAGAGGATTCCACTCAGTTATAAGACAGTTCTTTCTACTGACGTGAATTCCTACTAGAGACACTTCAGTGAGGAAATCTATTTCATCTTGTGCATTTTTGCAAATATTCTTAAGTTTTCTTTCTCCTTTTTAAATATACACCAATAAGAGTATATTTTCTCTTACCTGTATATAGTGATTTATAGTATCCTTACATATTTTATGTTCTAACAAATGTAAATACTGGCTTGTTAATTATGTCTACTTCCCAGAGATGAATCATTATAAACGTCTTGTATTCTAAATCCAAGTTGTTGTTGTAAACGTCATAATCTAATCCTATAAGTACTTTTGTAGTTATGTTTCCAAGTAAATTTGAACAAGATATTTTGCTTGCCTATAAATGTGGTGACTTAATGGGTGCTTAAAATAGGAAATTCTTTTTTAAGTGCACATTGTCAAAGTCGCTGCAATTAGCAGCAAAACAAAAGAGATGTAAGAGTGTACAACTTTTTTTTGTTTTACTTTTTTTAAACTTTACTAGTCATTTGAACCCAATGGTTCTTTCCAGTCCTGTACAATCCTATGCTCTTAGTTTGCATAACACTTTTACAATGGGATATTGTCATTTTAAACATCGTCATAGCTACACTTAAGGGAAATATTCCTGTGAGGGTTATGCTTTAGGCATTTGGCGATGTCAGCCAGTAATGGAATTTTCTGTTAAAATCATGCATCACCAAAGCTACTACATGTAACGCTCACTAGAATTTATACACATTTAGTGTTAAGTGTAACAACCAGAATATCCTGCAGTCCACAATATAAGATACTCTGTAAAGTGATATAATTATGGGTGATCAATTGCAATCTGTTAATAATATTGCCTGTTGTTGCTAATATTATAAAGATGCATCTAAAGTTAAAAGAAGCTGAATTAGTAGACTGCAGTTATGTCTGTATGAAACTTGTCATCTCCTAGCATGGATAGAGTTTAAGCGTCCAAACTGCATGTGCTGTTTAAATGTATAGTCTGGGCGTACATGCAGGCATAGAAACATTATTTTTTATATATGACCCAGTATTAAAATAGCAAATAAAATATAATTGGTAACAAGTTAATTTTTGTAAGAATCTAATACTTCGTCAAATGTCATTTCTGAAATGGAAGTATTACGACTAGTACTAGTTGCAGAAGCATCTATACACAAACAAGGACACAGTGGGGTTAGTAGAATTGTGAATAAGTACCAACGTGAGAGAAGCAATCTAAGACAGTAAATTATTCAAATAGTTGTTTAGCAGCTCAGCTCCTAAACCAATGGAATAATTTGGAGCTGGAATCATGTATGCAAGCTGTTTGGAATACATGCATTAATGCGATACACAAACCTGGAAGTAATTGCTTAAGCTTGTAAATATTTTACAATTTAAATAGAAAATGTGTGTATGCAAGTGGTCTGGTTTCCTCCAGTTTAATTGTATTACTACTTAAAGAAACTGTTCCAAGTAATCACAAATAGTATATAAACTATTATACAGAATATCACTTTATAACCCATTTCCTTGCTTGGAATGCATAAACAGCAAGTTTCAAAACAATTTTCTATGAAAATGTTACCATTTGAAATAGGCAAAAATACCAAAGTCACTATTTTTTTTACAAAAAAAAGTATTATAAAGCCTTACTTACAAAAATTTGCTGTTTGCAAAATCACACTGTAAAAGCTGATTCAGTGAAAAGTACTGTAGTGAAAAAGTAATATATTTTTTCACAAATGTAGATAAATAGATAATATAACCTCTTGCTTTCGTGACCTAGTTTATAGGGGAAAAGTAAGAGTATATTCAGGAGCTGCCCTAGTAAAAGGTCAGAGGTACTTGCTATGTACATAAAGGAAACAGTCATTTGGAGATCAAAGCATTCAAATATGTTGAAGGTATAGACCATAAAGTATAAAATATTATGCTAAGCTGACAGTGATCAAGAATCCAGTAGAATTAGAACTATGTAAGATATTCTGTAGTGTATAATTCAATGACAAAATATTATTATTTTAAGGATAGTTTGCATACTGCTAGATTTGGAAAGGAAATGTTTCACTGGCCCTTCAGTACTGTTTCTGAACTAGGAATTGCATATTTCCATATTTATTTGACAAAAATGTATATTCTGTTATCACCTAATTCCTGAACCTTTCTTTGACATCCATGTTTTACATGATTCCTGGAGACAATTTTGCATTGCATGATGCAGTCTGTTTTATAATTTCGTCCTTGGCACCGATGTGTAAATATTTTAAATGTTCTATTTATTTGGGTGCTATTATAAATGGGCTTTTTGGGACCCTCTTGTTTTGTAAAGGAAACCAATTTCTATGTTCATATCCATTACAATCAGCAATATTAGAAATGTTGTGAAAAGGGGAAAATGTGCAATGATAAAATAAAGTGATCACTCTAAACAAACTGTGTAGAGTTGAGTGTCAGAAATGTGTGCATTACACCGTTAGATGAAAAGCGAGTTCTTATTCAGGCTCGTGTTTTAACTCTTGGAAAACTAAAACATCTTCAACTTTCACTACATGAACTTTTCTTTTGATTCGAGACAGTGTAAATTGCTGAAGGTGGGATGTTGTACAATAGATCATTGGCGGCAGCTTTGTAGACTGTTGATGGCTAACCTGCGAATGCCATGGGTGGGGAGGGGGAGTGTTCAAAGGGAGAAATTCATATAAAGGGGGAAAAAGCACATTAAAATCGGTAGAAGAGCTTGAGATCAGCAGCGTTTCCAGGGGATTCAGCGGTAGGGGAGAAAGGATCGAGGAGGTCAAGCAGAGAAGTTTGGAGTGAAAAGGTTCTTTACCTGTCTACTTAGCTCACTGTCAGTACAGAAGAACAGAAATGGATTTTATCGAGGCACACTTACGTTTAGGGGGTTTAAAAATATCTAAATGGATATCAGATGTGTTTTAAGAGAATATTATTGCCAGGTTCAGTAGTATCGAAGCTGGTAATGTAACACGTCCTTATATGAGAGTGCAAAACAGGAACATTCTAAATTTAACAGAGCTCAGCTGTACAGCTTCCAGTTCGAAAGCATAGTTGGCAATGTTCTTTTGTGTTGTTCCAGTCACATACTGGCTTGTTCCAATTGGCTGGTACTTCAAA